TCGCAGTTCAATCTGCATGTATACTTTTGGATCCCAACAAATCCATAGAGGAATCTCCTTTTGAGGTCCATGTTGAACAGAGTGGATTGCCAACCTTTGAGTGGTGCGCCCGGGACTTTTTTTGGGTGAACTGAGCCCGGAGGACTGGGTGCTTAGACAACGACCGGATTGGCTCTCGACCGGAGTGGACATGTTGGGAGTGTTTTTTGACTCGCCGAAGATCCGGACATCCGAAAGAGACAACCAGAACCACGGGATTCCAACCATCATTCCCTGCAAGGCCGCAGGTGATTTTTTTTTCCAAGGGGCAAGGACGTCACCCGTCACCCGTCACCCCGTCACTCGCGATGCCAGGACTTCCGCCAGTTCTTGGACAAGGCCAAGCGAAAGAGTTGGCCGCACAGTCACTCAAGTCGCGCAGTTTTTTTCTTCTTCCTTTTTTGGCTCTGAGAGCTCCTAACTCTGACAACACCTAGAAGCAGTTGGAACTTTCACAGCTTCTGATTCTGACAACCGACTTTGCCTTGACCGTTTTCGGAGTTGTAACAGTGCGCCCGGTGGCTAGGCGAACTTGCGTGCCCCTCACATGGGCCTGGCCTTTGCTGCTGGAAGCTGAGACAGCGAGCGGTTGCTGCAAGCTACCCCAAAAAGCCTCGAGGGTCTAGACGCCAGGTAGCATCCCATGGAAACAAAGAGCGGGTTTTGCGTAAGATGCTGGTTATTCGTTTGCTAAAAAACCGTCTGGTTGAACAATGGGAAAGGGAAACCCAATAAACGAGACCGTAGGCGCCGTTTAAAAAAAGGAAGCCCAACGAAAGTCCCTGGTCGAGGGTCGGACGCACCCGAATCCCACCCGATTGTATGGGTTTGCCGAACAAAAATTGGAATCGGAACCCTCGAAACAGGTGGTTTCGTTTTGGTTTGACTCTTCAACCGTCCCAACAAAGGGCTAGCCGCAGGAAATCAACACAGCCATTAGGGCTTTCAGTTTGCCAGCGCACGAGCTGTGAGGTTTTCTGCGCGGCTACGACTGGCGTGGTGCGCCAGCCGGAGGGTCCCATCCCATGAGGTGACCAAGAGATTCCAGTCCCAGAGGTCCTGAGGTAACTGGAGGCTTTGGAAGGACAATGCTGTGGAGAGTGATTCGTTTGCACTGGAGCCAGATTGCCGGAACTCATGGTATAGATTTCAATGGGACAACTGGATCCATTTGAGGAAAATCCGAAAGGGGACCATGCGCCCCGCGAGCTTTCGCTATCCCATTTGAAATTGCCAAGATTCGGTCAGTCGAATATCCAGGCAAGCTTTCACATGTTTGCCTGCGGGAACAGCAGATGCTGGGGGTATTTTCTTGTGCTGCGTTGCCGGTGCTGGCAATGCCGTGGGTGCTGCTACGACTTGGCCAACCTTTTGGTTTCTCAGGGCGAAAGCATCACCCCACAAACATCAGACTCAGACTTCTTCTTTTCTCTGGGCCCAAGAGGCCTTGACGTCCCAAAGAAGCCACAGGGGACGCCCCAAGGGAGGGACCCCCAGCGCCCAAAGGTGCCGCTGCTGGGGATCGCGGCCCTGCTGGCCGCCGAAGGCCTATCGTGCTTCCGGGTGAGGGGCGAAAGACCGAAGAAAAACCCGGCAGTTGTGCCCCAAGCTTGAAATGTTCTCTTCATGTTTATCTGTTTTTTTTGGGGCATGATGTCAACTGCTATATTTGCCGGGTATTTGGAGCAGAGCCTCAAGCTATCTCTTGCGAGACACCCCAATCATTCCAAGGAGGAGACCTCGCAAACCTCGCAGTCTGGGAACCGTTGGCTTCCCAATCCAGGAAAAGGGAAGTCGTCTCCCCGAAAAAGGGTTTCGGACCCATCGGAAAGGGTAAAATCCCACGTCCGTCACCCCCGCAGTTCCGTTTTTGACCTGGTAGGTTTTGACTCCCTCCGTTTTGATGTTTGGCCCTGCCGCCCTCGTTTTGATGTTTGACCCTCCCCCAATTTGATTTTCCCATTTCAGTTTTGGTTTCTGTTTTCTTCCCTCCTCTTTTCGGTGCCTTCGGAGGAGAGGTGACACCTGTCCCCGTGACTCCTGTCGTGAACGTCCCCCTCCGCGAGCAAGCGTCCAGCTCGGATGCGGAGCGAGGCGCGGAATCGAAAAAAAATGGGCTGGTAACCATGACTTCCGGAAAATGGGGTCACGGCTGATTTCTGTCTTGGGCAGATGACCTGCCCATCCTTTTGGGTTCTGATTGCTTGCACCGAAGGGTCATGGAGACGCATTGGTCAAGTTGGAAAGGTTATTCAACGGACCTCCTGTATGGCGGCCTTAGTTCGCAACCCAAATTTGGGATGCATGCATGCTGAGATACTCCCAAAGTAAGGCGGCTTTCGATTTTGGCGTTCCTACCAAAACAGGGGGCATGCGAAAGCAGCATGAATATGGGCTTGTCTCAAAATTAGGAACCCCCTTCTTAGAACACGTCAGCGGAAGTTCGAAGTTTGCGCGGGCAAAAACGGCACCATAGGTGTCCTTTTTCGGTGAGTTTGGCTATAGATGGGTCCTGGTTGGATGGATTCCATTTACCAGGGAAACCCATCGATCTTTCCCAAGGGCCACCTAACGGCACCGATGCACAGGCCTCTGGGAGTTGAGCCGATCCTTGGAGAGCCTGCGCCAGGACATTCGACTCGGATTCGGCCAGCCTTGGGATTTCCTGGCCATTGAAACAGCTGAGTGACTACAACCACCATGGGTTTCCCTTCTTCTCAGAAATAGGTTTCGTCACTTTTGGAGTCCGAAATATGAGCGGCCACGATCGTCCCAACTCATCCCGGCAATTGCATCAGGAGGGTCGCCTATGTTTTAACCCCGACCTGCGTATTCACCTCGGGTCCCAAAATGCCATGCCTTCGACTGGCGCCAACTCTTCTCGTTCACAGGAGGTGCGGCAGGACGGGTTCGCTCCGCGGCGGGTCGTTTGCCATTCGGTTGTTGGAAATTTGGGCCCGGCCAAGAGGCAAGAGGACCGGGAAGAGGAGGCCTGTTTGTCCACAGAGCAAAGAGGAATGGGGGCGGCAAAAGGAGGGGTTCCTTTGTTGACTTAATTGAGTTTGGCAGATCTGGGTTGACAGACAGATGACAGATTTGTGACAAATGGGCTACTGGGATCAGCGTGTTAGAAGTGTCCCCCCAAAATACATCCAAAACGCCCTTGATTCGTTCCCAGTCAGCTTGAGGTTAGTGAGAAAACCAGCATGGCCCTTGATGTAGGGTACATAGCCTATGGCGCCCTCAAAAACGCCACACGCACAAACACACCACATCCTTCAAGTCCACGTGTTGAATTGGACGAAACGAGTGAAACGGGCCGACGGGTCGAACTGCCGCGTCTCGGCTCGAAGGCTTGCTACTGAGGGGGCACCAAAGTTTCTTTTGTGCCCTGGGACTCCCAGAAGGGTGTCATCCGTGTACTCTTTCTTTTTGCCCTTGGAATGAATTCCAATGGAATTTTGAAGGGGTTGCAACCACAAATCTAAGGGAATTGATGTCCCATTCTTTCCCAAACATCGTTCTTTTCGAAAAAGCGGATCCGTTTCGGAGGTTGTCTAGAGAGAAGGATCCCTGAAAGGGAAGTAGCACTAGAGCAAAGGTCCCCCTGCCCACCTGCCCCATCTCGGACTGCGGGTCTCGATGCCATGCTGGGCGGCACATCGCGGCCCCTGGCGCCCTGCCGCGACGCCCGCGGCGCCGAGCTCAGCGAGTCTCCTGTCCGAAAGTCGCTGGGTGTACGGGGTGCGTGCAGTGCGCCAGGGGTTTTCGGGTGGGCACCTGCCAAGAACGTGAGGCCACTGGGGTGAAAGTTGCATTTCGACCAACATGTATTAATGGGATTTTGATAAAAGGGAAATCTTTCCATCGGACGTTCCAGGTCCAGGATTTGGTCAGCACGCGAGCGCCTTGGAACATGCCTTGCTTTAGAATCCCACACTTGTCAGACATGGATCTGAATTGGCTCAACCCGTTTTGACGCATTCAGGTCACTCTTAATTGGTGTTTTGGATGGGTGGTTTGGGGGTTCGAACCCCTGGTTCTTGTGGAGACCCCCCGAAGTTCCAGACTAATCCAAGCTACCCTTTTTGAGGGAAGTTGTGTCTGGCCAATTTGCGGTTGGCCTCTGCTTTTTCCCTGTGCCCGGGCGCCTTTTCGAGGCGCGCGCGTCTCAGCGGCGGAGAAGCGGAGAAGCGGAGAAGCGCGCGGCTCAGAGGGCTGGGTTTGGTGGGTGCGGGTTTGGGATCGCCCCATTTCGCTGCAGCATGGCTAGGTCCCTCAGTAGTGCGCCCTTTCTCACCCCTTTTTGGTTGGGAGGGTTCCCCTACGAAAATAGACTAGAGAAAAAAGGGTACCCTATGTACCCTTATTCTAACCTCTCTACTGGAGGACCTAGGTGGGCTGGTTGGAGTTATGTTAGGGTTGGGTTAGGATGGTTGTACGGTTGGTCCGCAGACACCTCACCTTTTGATAGCTGCGCGAGCTGAACAGCCGCAATCTCGAGATTTGGGTCAACCCACCTAAAGTGCGCATGGGTGCGGGGGGGGGGGGGTATACCCATGATGTAGGTCCTTTACTTGGGGCTCCGAATCTGACCTCAGATGTTGGACACATTGTAAGTTGAATTCCAAACCATAGCTCATCCCAGGAATTGCGCCACCAACTTTCCGAGCTTCACATAATTTGTGGGGCCCGGAAGGATTGCTTTTTTTCTCATTCACCAAACAACCTTTCCCCGCGTGCATTTATTTGCTTGGGTTTCCCCACCGAATCTGATTCGGTCGTTCTGGTGTAATCCCTCCAACAAGGCGCCTGGCACCTGGGTCCGAAGAGGAAGATTGATCTTCCAGATCATCTCCAGCTGCCCCCAAAGTCAAGGATTGAGCCGGATTGAAGGGTTGCAAGCCTTTGAGGAAAACCCCCTTCCAAAGCTGCCTTCTGAAGGCGGTCGTGCAATCTCCAGCACCTTTGCTCAGATTCAACGTAGCTTGCCGCGGCGACTCTCCGCGCGGATCCGCGCCATGTCTCGCCTCGCCGCAGCCCTTCTCTCCCTCCCAGCTCTGGAGGCATGTGGAGGGTGCCCAAACCGGGTATGAGAATTGGTACCCAGTTCCATAGGTGTCGTTTTTGGTTGTTTTGGTAGAAAAATAAATGGCCCTGGTTTACGTGGTGGTTTAATCATCTACCAGGGCCATCTATTTCCTCTAAAAGGACACCTATGCCCAGTTCCCTATCAAGATTTTATTGCCACTCCCTTGGTGATGGTTCAACTCCCCAGCAAAACATAGTCCTTACCCCTTCTGGTATCTCTGTGAGGGAACGTGTGGTCAAAATTTTACGGCGCTTGACCGTGCCATGAAATTGAGCTCGAAGCGCAAGATCCAAGGGGCTCTCTTTTTTTTTCCTTTACAGGATCTCCTGGTTGGTTTCAAAGAGAACCAGCGGTTACCATTTTGAGGGTTCCGAATCCTAGGCAAACCCAAAGGGTGAGATGCGGAGAACGGTCCTGCCAATCAGTGTCACGAGTGCTGGCCCACTCTGAATCATGTGTGTGTGTGTGTGTTGTGTGTGTGTGGTGTGTGTGTGTGTGTGCGGAGTGACAGAATGCCCTGTCACCACCATGTGCAGCAGGGGCGTGCAGCACCTTTGGCATACTGCACGCAATGAAGCTATTGCCAAAGGTGGGAAGGGTGTCCAGACGTGGACACCTGTACCTGCTTCAGTGATTCTGAAAGTCTTTTTGGCCCCCTTGGTTGCGGCGCTGTTTGTGCTTCTTGTTCTTTCGGGTAACGTTTTCGCCTCTAGAGAGAAGCCAAGTGACTTGCAAGCAGAACTCAGCCGAGACTCATCAGTTGTACTCGAGACTCATCAGTTGTACTCGAAAGATTAGCACCCTCCATCTGGAGTTTAAGTGTGTACACCCCATTCATGGGGAATCCTCGAGTGTACCCATTGTGTGACCCCGGGCCGGCTTTGTCGGAAAATTTGACCTCAACGTTCTTATCATAGAACAGCGGAATTTCACATTTAACCAGGAACGAGGTTTCACTAAAGGGAAGACAGCGGTCAGATCATAGAGACGTCTCACCACAGCTGCTGACGGCTGCTGACTTGAATTGCATTGGCTTGCATTTTGTTGGATTCGTTGCTCTCATCATAGCGGTTGATGGCTGCTGACTTGAACTTGCATTGACTTGCATTTGTCGGATTCGTTTCTCTCACCATTGCTGCTGATGGACGCTGACTTGAACTTGCATTGACTCGCATTTTGTCGGATTCGTTTCTCTCACCATTGCAGCTGGTGGCCGTTGACTTGAATTTGCATTGACTTGCATTTTGTCGGATTCGTTTCTCTCAAGGTTGAAGTGTGAAGGTTGTGAGTTGGTTGCGCCACCATGTCTCGACGTGATGATCGTGACAGATCCAGGACTCGGCGCAGACGTGATCGGAGTCCTTCTCCTCAAGCTCGTAAAGCACACTGACGTGAACACAATGACCACCAGGTCTCGGAGGGCATGGATTGGAACAACCTGGTCTCTTGGCAACACAACTCCGGCTACAACTCCACCAACAATTTCCCGATGATGCCGACCAATTATCAATCGATTCCGAACCCCACGCAGCAGTTCCATCATTCACCGATCAACTACATGATGCCGATTCCTCCAGAGCCCACGCCAACGAAGTTCATGACGCCCGTGATGCCGCCGCCGGTCACTCCCTCGCAAACTACGCCATCACCTGGATACCCTGCAGCCCTGCCGGTTCGTCCTCAGAAAGCCTGGCTTACACCATCGGCTGACTGGACGCCTGGAGATGGCATGTTAGATGTCAATCAACTCTACAACTTCAGCCTGCTCATGACGGTTGCCAGCACCCCGCACAGCAACCTACGTGACATGTCCGGCATGGACATTCGTGACGTTCGCCTGGTTCAGGTCATTCATGGGGGCCTCGCCAACTGGCTGTTCCGACCGTTTGCTCACGGCAGATTCGTGACGTGGGAAGGCTTTCGCACTCGCACCGAGGCCTTACTTTGGAGTACCTGTTCCAAACTACTACGGCGATCACAGTCGATTAACCTGCTCACCTTGGAAAAGGACCTTGCCAATTCGCTGGGGCTCAACCTCGACGACTTCAATCAGCGGATCAAGGTTCATGACCATTTGGCCAACTTGGTACTTCAGTTTCTTCAGCAACACCACGCAACTCTCACGCCTTCTACCCAGACGGATGACATGGTCAAGAAGTACAATGATCTAAATCGTGCTCATGAGTTGCTCCAGGCTCAGTATTCAGCATCGTTACGCGCTTCGACTTCCCCCACGGTGCCAAGCCAGAAGGATGATGCGGAGTTGGTTACACCACCACCGGTCAATCACACACAATCCTCGTCACCTCCCAGCTCCCTCCCTACGACCAGCGCAGCGGCCCTAGATGGCAAGTCGTTTGATGGCGCGGTGCAACCCCGGATCATTCAGTCTCTTCACGGAGTTTCTTCACCGCCTTCCAAGCCGGCGGCGTCACAATTGCTCACCATGCACAGCACGCCGGATGACGTCATCAAGTACTACACATGGACCAGTGATCAGCCACGCTTGTATCTCAAGCAGTCGCCCACAACCACCACTTTGGCGTCATTGATCAAGTGGGCCAATCACCCGTCCCGTCTCAACGGCAACAAGTCCTTGGATTCCATGGCGACGCAACTCCTTCAGGCGCGTCAACGCATGCCAAAAGGAGACGCACCTACGCTTGGGGCGATGGCGGCTTTGTGGGGACTGGAGCCCGGCTACCTCACCAAGCTCACTGACAAGGCGCTGAGTCACCTCATCGTGACCGCCCGCTTACTCAGTGGGTGAGCAGTCCCTCTTGACGAACTTCGTTCACTTATGAGCCCGGAGCGGCAGCCGTGTCACGGTTGAGGAAAGGTTCAAAACTCGTCCGTCATCTTCTTGCTTTGCACTTGTTTGATGATGCGCTTGTCTGTGCTTGCGTTGTCTTTTGCGTGATATTCATTGCCGCTTGCATTCATGTCGCCGCCACACTGTAGATTTCATTGGTTGCATGTTCACCATGTTGGCTGAGCTTCGCCGCTGTGGAATCTATGATGATGTTGCACAATGGCATTCTCTGGACACCTTTCTACACTCGTTGACAATGTTCTCTACGTGCTGGCAATACTGCTTTCCTGGACTACCACCACCGTCGCTACCAACAGATGAATACGAGTCAGTTGCACAACTACCTTGGTTGGGCCTTATTCTGGAAGTATTAGTTGTGGTCCGGATTGCACTTCAGATTCCGACTCACGCCATGTCACAATCTCACCACACTGTGGCCAACAGGTATGAACTTCACAGGTGCCGGTGCACGGCCTATTTATTGATCAGTTTCTTGCAGCGTCTCATTTCTCAAGATCATGGATATGTCCCACCGTTCTTCGAGGTTCTTCACTTCTACAAGACATCTCTGTTGTGCGAAATTATGCATTCCACTTTTGCAGACACGAGACATCTTCGCTCATCACGGACACGGTTTCCGGACCTCTATGACTTCATTCACGATCCAGGTCATCATCAACAACCATGCGTTTACATACGACTTTCTCCATGGCACACGCCATACTACGTTGGTGCGACTGATCAGGACGTTCTACGACGTGAACACTCACGCAGTCGCAAATTTCTACAACTACTTCGGGGACGTCATGCCTTCTTCGAACCTGCGCTTCACTACTGGAAGCGCTCCAACACTTACTGGCTTTTCTGTGCCATTCCGGTTGAGATCAAACTTCCCATTTCCTCGGTTTGGGTCCAGGAAAGCAAGTGGCAATACCTGCTGCGTCCGCATTTGAATGCACCCTGGGTACATAGACTTCTTCGAAAGGTGGGCTTCCGGGAGCATCTCGTTGACTTTCGACGTCATTCGCTGTCGTCTCCCACCTCGCTCGGTCTACACAAACGTTTTCGACGACGACTACATCCGGATCTTCAACGGCAATTACGACCTGAAATGTTGGATGACATTCAAGCGCATTACTCCACTCTCTATCAGCTGGGATCCAACACAGGCGCATCGTTCCAAGCCATGCGAGACCTACTGTCGGCGGCTTTTCCTCCCACTCAGCTCTACTACTTCCTACGACTCTCCGTCTTTGTCAACGAGCCCTTTCGCTCCAAGGCACAGAAACTCCTCGCCCAGGTGTTGCGCAAACGACAGCTCCAATCACCCAGCACTTTGACACAACTACTTCTACCGCCTCTACATGTACGGAATTGGAAAGCTCAGCTTGGCACGTGGTTACAAAGTTGGGTCGCTTCACATCGTGACTTGTTTCCCTCCCTATTTCTTCCAAAGATCCGGGTGGTGGAAACTCGCAGCTCCACTTTGGGAGACAGGATCTACAACTACCGCACATGGCAACGCAGATGGACTCCTGACGTATCTTTTCCGTGTCGCTGTTCGGACATTGATGATCACCGCCTACACCGTGCGCATGAACATGCAGTAATGGTGGATGAGTTCTCACGCATCAATGCGGACATCGACATGGATATCATGGCCGCGTCTATGAAGGATCAGTATTTCGGCGATGTTGACTTGTTGCATCAGCGTTTTACCACACAGCTTCGCAAACTAGCTTGTCGGTGGCATGTACATGGCTCCAGTCTTCTTACTGATCTACGGCCTGTTTTGACCCAATTGATTGATACCCATCGATCCAACCTTCAAGATCGTGCTTATTGGTCATCTACATCACTACAACGAACCGTGGCTTCTCTGTCCTCGTGGGTTGTACTTCCCGCGGATCATTTTCCCTCTCGTGCGCATGTGATTTGCCCTTCGTTGTTCGCCATACTGATGCACAAGACCTTTTGCTCGGGAGAAGTCTTTTCGCTGTGTCGTGAATCTGCAGCATCTTTTCGCTCTGAAGTGGTCACTACGATACCTCCCCTCCTACTTCAGCGCTACGCGTGGGGACTTCGACTTCAAGCACCGTTGCCTACAGCTCGCATCCTTCCAAAGCCGACCAAGGATTGGCAGAAAGCAAGACCCATCATTT